TTCATAATTTGACGGCCACATGGGAGTCTTGTAAACTGTGGATAATGTTGAAGTACAAGTGTGTCTGAGAGTGATTAGAGAGACTAGAGATGACCACATGTTATTGTAATGGGATCATGCATCCAAGTCAGGTGTAGCTATTTATCATGAAATAAAACGTAATAAAGCGTTCTTACTTTGACTATACATTGTAAGAATTGACTATAAAACTATTCAATTTTCTCAATGACTCTTTGAAAATGTCCGATTTTAAACTGAGATGCTGTCAAATATTTCACATATAGATCTTTCAGAGTGTTCTTTCTCTAATCATCAATCTTTTTGCAATTCAAAGTATATAAGAATTGACTCTTTTTCTATGGTTCTTTGGGATTATAGTCCGGATTGATCATCAAAATCAAGTGTCCATGTCAGGAGTTAGCGTCCTTYGCTATTAAACCATTCAATATGCACGGAAGTGTTGAAACAGCATTTGACAAACATCGCTTTCTTATCTAATGGATTTAGTCTGTGAAAGTTTCCTGGGACATTAAAACGTCAAACAGGTGTTATTTTGAGTTTRTGAAGACTGAATTTAGGCGACGATAGAACGTAACGCGTTGCGTAAGTTTTACACGCAACTAATGACAACTTTACGCGACGACTAAACGTAACGTGGCAATTCAGTTACTTAAATGGCGCATTCAGCCAACGTCAGCTGAGAAAAAACGCGCCACTTAACTACATAAAAAGGCGGCCCTTTGACTAAACCTACAGCATACGCAAATTCATGTGCACGTAACTTTTTCGCAGGGAAATTAAAAGCGTGAAATAAAACGCGCAAATTGTGCGGCAATGCATTCAACTGTAATATTTAAAATGTACAAAAAACGCGTTAAAAACAGTTAGATCGTAAAAAAACAAGTTACTTGTGTTGAAGATTGTGCGTAATCATACCTCATGTTGCTTTACGTAAATACAGTAACGTTTACGCGAACTACAAGTTACGCAAATGGTGCGTTCCGTCCTAAAATCTCTCCAAATCATAAACTCGTGGTTAAACTTGTCAAATTTATATATTTGGCGTTCTTATAGAAACGTTTAACTCGTAAATAGCCGTATTTATTCGAGGCGTCCTCGCTGTGCGTTCAATACAAGTTGTTRTGTTTTCTACTAGGTGTCGATAAGCCTCAATAGCTTAATATTGGACCGTAAAAACAGCACTACATATATTCTTGGCATGGTACATGTATTTATAAGCCGTAACGCTTATTACTCGTATAATAGTYAGTCCTAACTATGCTCGTATAGAATGAATATATATGCTCGAATTTTCTCATTATCCATAAATAATTATAATAAATTTATACTGATTAATGACATATAATAGATCATATTTAAAACGGACTTTGTGATATGAAATTGACGTGGCTAAAGTTTCTATCGCCATAAGTCCCTTTGTTCAATTCTTTCCTACATTTAATCAAATTCTAAATCTTGTAATTGTGGTATTGCGTGATATTATGTAGGCGTATCCAGCACGACTCCTACCCCTCCCTGGGTAGGGTATTGTGTGGCTTAGAAGTCACCACAAAGCARTCACATGTGGGTGAATAATTGATACAATGCGTACTGATAGATCAATGAGTTGAGATATGAGATAAGCTTTGTGGCTTTTTGTATTGTTAGTCTTTGATAAAGATCTTTTCGAATGTAGTGGGGTACGATGGTCCCGAAGGTGTGGCCACGCCCTCAAACAAGTACCCTACGAATTTCAACATGCCTCCACTCAAAAAGGCCGTTGGATTACCGAGGATAGAATATAAAGCCACATCGGAWTTATCCCMTSATGAAATCATTCATTAAATTTTCGATACTTGCATTATCAAGTTCATTTCGACAAAGACCTGACATCTTTCTTGGCTAACCCAGTGAAAACCTTCTAAAATTATAAGATTACTGTATCGAAACAAAACAGAATTAAACTGTACCAACAATCTCATTTCCTTTCTTCYAAGTGAAACCGGAAATGCAGAGYAAATCATTTAGATTATTAGCCATCTTTGYGACCTTTCTTTCYGTGTGATAAAAACTGAAGATTACAAWGTGCTATTCTTAGCAATTGMTSAAGTTTATACAGCTCTCTGCCAAGCTTTTWGCGCTTTCTATGCATGACAAGCCCAGRCGGGTGTTTGAAAATCTAAATCAAGGAAGTAAAGGCGTTTTCCTTCGTTGTCATCTTACATATATAGGATATTAAAGTAGCGTGCCGAAATAGGAACATATCTTTGAGTAATTAACGTCTCCCGATCGAGAACACAGTCTAGTTATCAAGAATGCAAAGGCAGTCCATAGATAATAAACGCCTTGCATGGTACAAGTACAATAAACCCTCAATAACGAAGAACCGCAATGAACGAAAAGCCAATAACTGTAGTCACGTGACAAAGAACGCTAAGCATCCCTATCACGTGACATTGCTTGATTCTCTCACGTGACAAATAATGCGGATGTACAAGTTAACTTCGTATGTCTTATTTTTTTCAATGACTTCTTTSCCAGACGGATTTGTGAATGTTTTTTTGAGAAGCCATTCAGTAATTATCATGTAATTACAGACACATTGCTATGCTGACATTGAGAGTCACTCTATTGTATGCCTGAATAAATAGCAATCTAGACTATTCTAACATTAACATATCATCAAGGTACAATATTGCCTAAGGCAAGTCATCGTCACAAATAATGTCTTCCAAAGTACAGAAAATCCGTCGTTTCAATCAGCGCCTTATCTAAAGAACTTTTGAGAACTTGAATTGGAAACATTTCCTCATGCAGTCATTGTATACTAACTGATTATAAAAGTACAATCGCTGAATTCGGTGAGTTTGTTAAGAATAACTTGACTTTTCTCAAAATAGAGTGCGCAGTACATGTTAACAAATTTTCATTCGCGAGAAGATATATTTTAATCCATTGAATCAATCTTATTCGCTTCTGTTATTGCTTTTTTATATCAATCAAAAACTTTGTTCAATATGGTTTATATGGAGGGGATTGTTCAATTAATGTAACATTTGATGTATGTTAGTATTCGTAATTAGCTGTACAGTACTTGTCAAAAGACAGTAAACTTTCCCAAGCAAATTGTTTGCATATAGAATCTATAATCGATTTACTTGATCATGTAAAGAGCAAGTAAGGCTTTTTCATAATACAGACGAATAAATTCTTTGCATTTGTCTYTRYACAGCTATATTTTRTGAGTTGTTAGTTTTATWTACATCGAAGAAATCAGTGCCAATACAATTTGACATTAGTATCGTTCGTGTGTTGTCGATAATTTGAACCGATCGTTGTTTTACGCTTATTAGCCATACACATTGGAAGTATAATACCACATATAGAGAAGTCGTTCACTACAACTGAAAAAGATTTAAACTGTCTTAAYATATAGTTTCCTTGTTTGTCATTTGTCTGCCATTTTTATTGAATATTTAACTTGTCTAAACTGACAGAACTGGCGTTTTTCAAAGTTTAASGGGATTCTTTTCGCTATTTTGCTATTGCCATAAGTGCTTTTTGAAAGGTCTCAAGAGAAATTATGCTCATTAATTTCTTTCGACAATAAAGTCACGCCATCTTTTATGCATTTTGCATTTTGAGCTATCACGCGATATTAATTTTATTATTTAGTGAACTATCACGCTACTYGCACTTAAAATTTTCCCATGTCACGCTAGCTTGTGACTATATATAAATTTCGCTATGTTGTATTTATCAATRGGCCTTATTACTAACAGAAAATGTTTATAAACAGGCCCAACGCTAAGCTCTAGCAGTGGTCTTTTAGTAACTTTAAGTGACTTAAAGTGTAATCGGTAAAATAGAGCGTTTGTCTTGGCCAAAGCATAGTTGATTGGGGCAACTATGGCCAAAATGATTTTTCGACACTGTAAACTGTGCGGAGTTAAAAAAATCGGAAATTGAAAATAGTTCATATAAAAGGTCTCCATGGTTAAACAAGCGTTGTTTTTTTAAAGTGCGATTATGAAGAGAAAGATGATTGATTGATGCCAAGAATGTCCTAAGATGATTAATATAGCTAAGAAAGTTGTTGTTTTTCTCAAGCATAACTACAAACACACTCATTTCTCATAATACTTCAATTTAGTTCTTAATAAAGCAAGTAGGCTCTTATCAAATGATCCCAACTTAGTGATTTAGATCCTACTGCATAGCGTTCTCTAAAATATTCTAGTTAAATGTAGGATTATATATTTTTTCATGAATTCTGTATGAAAATAATATACCCTCATAAACCATCTTCACGATTACTAATTTGTTGCTTTCAGAGATTTTTATTATATTTATTTATTTATTTATTTATTATTTTGCTATTAATCCATTCGCCATGACTTAATTATAATTTATTATAATTAATTATTTAATTTATTAATTAATATAATTAATTATATTTAATTTTAAGGTTGCACATGCAAGAATCTGAGAGTCGAGAACCTGATCTATTTTTGTTTCTTATTTTGCATCCGATTCGTCCAAGTTGTCAAGCAAAACTAATAGCAATTTCAATCGTACATGAGATCGTATATTTAGCCTTTTTCAGATCTCATTTTTGTTAGCATATTCACTAGTCTTTTATTCAATAGATTTGTAATTGAGTCTTTWGACTAATATTGCCAGAATCTTCAAAAGTACCCGTAAGAGGTTAACACACATCAACCCACGTATGGCATGATTTCAGGAGTCTTTTCCCACGACTGCCCTTGTAATGTTGAAATTTCCCAAAGGAAACTCTATTCTCCACGAAAGTGCCTTGAGATTTTAATCTTTATTTTCTAATTCATCTTCTTTATATTTACCTCCGTTAAGTATTTATACGGAAACTCTATCTTGGGGGCATTAAGGTATCAACATTCATCATGCGCATTATCATCTAATTTTATTTTTCTTTATTCTGAATTTACACTGTCCTAAAACTTTCCGTTTCTTTTTAACAGAGCCTTTCCAGACTTGTTAGATGTTCAAGCAGTGTGGATGGCTTGCTAGCCATGGGGTATACGGGTGAAGTGACSTGCAATGGCCAGTAAAGACCAAGCGAGTGTAATCCGCCGATCAAGTCGTGGAAGGACAGGCATCGACGCAAAAACAAAAACCGATTCCGGCTGTTTTGTCGACGACGATGTAGAAAAACAAATCGATAAATCACCGCCAAGAAACAAAAGCGAATCGAATTCGAAATMCGAATTTTTCAATGCGAATTCGCTTGAAAGAAATAAAAAGAATACRTCGAACAACCTTATCAGCGGTAATTCTTACAATGCAGTGGCTCATCAACGAGAAATGAGCCACTCAGACGAAYTGTTGAACGATGAAGAAGCGCAAGGAGATTCTAAGGGCAACATTAATACTGACGCGAAACCAAATGGAGATTTTTATTGCTTGTACTACAGTGACTCCCCAAATAGTAGYTTGACAAGGAACAAAGAAAAAAGTGCGAATTCTTCGATATCAGATAATGGTGAAGATATTGGTGCGAAAGCTGAAGAACTACTTCAGAAAGTCAAATCTGAAGCTCTAAGAAACAAATCAACWGATGATTCTTCAAATAAGGTAAACGAGCTTCCCGCCAAAMGRAAACCACCTCCCGTTGCGCCAAAACCAAAACGAAATTCTAAAAATGACAGCACATCGCCCAAAGATCCAATWCTGGATGAGTTGGAGAAACTCGGTGCATCTGTGGGTCGTRACTTTAGCGATGTCCAARAAAACGACTCAAGCGTGTTTTCCAACGCAGTRAAAGAGCTACAAGTTGCCAAAACACCTGAAGAGTGCTTTAATCGCTTCGATGCAATACAAAGCTCTCTTCTCGAGAACGTACCAGACACGTTAGAGCGAAAGAAAGCCAAAGATGAAAAGGAACAGACAAGGAGAAGAAGCTTTCCTGGTGCCGACAGGAACCGGAAGCTCTCCGACGGCTCGAATAAAGATGTMAATGGCAACAAATCTAAAGAAAACAAAMAGCAAGAATCTCCGAAGCCTTTAAAACAGAAAAGTGAAGTCAAGAAGTTTTCACGAACGGAGAGAGAATCTTTGCAATCGATGAAAGAAGATTCACATCATAAGCGCAGTCATATGAACACTGACACTTCYTATACTCCAAAATCTCTTTTYKCTCGTCCTGACTCGTACAGGATCACAAAAACTGAAASCACGAAGAAGATCGTTGACAAAAAAGAGTCAAACAAAGAGAATATTAAGAAGGATAAAAAACCAAGCCAACCAACAAAAGGTGCMAAGATTGGTAAGAAGGTGGATACCKCATCGAAAGGAAWTGGCTCCACGAAAACAAAAGATCGATTAAAGCTCCGTTCATCCAGGAGGCGAATAAATGGAGATCTYACMTCGATACCAGAAGATGGAGTCATYGGTGTRAGGATTGACGATTTGGATGACAACGCTATACCTCTAGCAAAGGGMGAAGATGATTTATCTTCTGGTGAAGATGATCTTGACAAATATGATGAAGATAACAGTGAGGATATCACTGATCCATCYTTAGAAGAGCTGGATTTTCCCCCTCCGCCTAGTCCTAGCGAMATGGCTGTTGATTCCACATGTTGTTCARTAGAAACAACGGTCTCTAAAACAACAACTCATGAATCAAGAGTAAATGTAATTCAYGAAAATTATATTTCAGGCTCAAGAAACAATTCRCAAAGAYTTGAAAATACGAAACTTTCYCATGAACAGCTGACTTCTCAACAGCGTTTCGCTCGAGCTCAGTCCTCTTCCTTGAGTTCGGACGGTTGGACCTCRGAATCAACTGCTGGATATTCGTCTGCAAATGATGCTGATGACGAAATTGAACGACTACCCGAGCTGGAGACTAGCGAGGACTTTGAAACGTACGAAGATCCCGAGGAGATTGCTGATATGACATTCGGTACWGTYATTGACGGGGCAGGAGACGACGACACKTACATTGAGGAAGCRCCCCAWAGGATACCGAGAAGTGACATCATTGTTGAGAGAAGACAGCAACTGCAGAGAAAACATGTTGCAATCGACAGAGAAGCTTCCTCGCCRACTTACAGCACTTATTCACRTTTACCTCAAGAGAGTCTTCAGGATGACGCCCATGTGAACCACTACCCCATCCAAAGYGAGGAATATCAGATGGATGTCGATGTTCCGTACCATTATGAACCTGAATATTACGGAAACGAAAGTGAAGTTATACATCATGGAAAGTCTAATATMATTGACTCGAATATACCAAGAAATAACCACATTACGGCAGATACGATATCCTTTAATGACCCAGGTTTGGAAAGAGAAGACTTAGAAGATTATCAARTGGAACAAAGACCAAGAAAGGCTCAGSARGAAAATCRCCCAGATCCAAGTGGCTTTATGACAGTCGAAGATATTAAGAGGYTAATATTCCAAGGACAAAAGCCATCGATTCCAAGATCGAGTTCTTTCTGTGGTGCATCATCTCATCTCAAAGAGAAAGCTTTACAAGARCAAGATGAATTCCAAAGGCAGTCCTGGTCAGGATATAGYRCAAGGCAGCAGCAACAACAACCAGTCATTGATCCTCTTGTGAGAGAATTTCCTAGAAGAAACGCCCCTTTGGAAGTATCCAAAAAMTCACCTTATGTMAGAACCGTTGTTCAAAACCCCAAACGTCAACATGATTTTTTCAGCGACTCTAATTTRACTACMGCYAGCGAAGGGATGAGAAACCGTGTTGGACGGTCACAGTCWTTTTGTRGMGGGACATCTCTACAACATAGAACTAACTCATTAGAGAATTATCAAATTAATGTTGTKAGAGGAGACAGAGGGAAGAGATCGCGTTCATTYTKMGATGCTCCGCTACAACGAAGAGCGAATTCGCTGGATGATCGTCATCTTGATATTATGAGTGATAGTGATGGTAGAGTAGGTCSTTCRCGRTCAATRAGAGGGCCACCAATTCAGCGACGTGCCAATTCACTTGATGAATATTACTCCACAAACAAAATGTCATCTTCGAGTCAACGATCAGGCCAGCCGATACAACGTGGTCGGCTTTTCCGAAGCCCTTCCGATAGTTCCTCCGACTATAGTCATTCAGAYAATGAGCAATACCACGGACAATTCTCTAGAACCAGTACGGGSTYWCGCGGGGTAAGGAACTCTCCGGCYACACAGTATATTGAYACCAAAGAACTTTTCAAGCTACTKTCRCCACAATCAATGAATGAGGTTGTTGAGCAGCAGATACCTCMAGTGAATAACTTACAACACAGCTCTCGGAATGGGCGTTCGACCTTTCCCCGRAAGTCCTCGGAAAGCCTTCGTATTCAAGCTATTCGACGAGCCTCTCAGGCTAACAGCGATAGTGACTCTGATAATTACGTTGAAACATTCAAAAGTCTTCAAAACCATCCACCAGTCAAGCAACACAMACCTGAAGTCAAAAAAGTAGAAAATCGACCCACTCTGTCTCAAAGATTTTCCGATGTTCCACAACGTATAAACTTCGACGAGCTAGCAGAGCAGCTGAATCTACCATCAGACGACGAGGAAGACGAMGTTGTAGACGGCAGACTTGGTGGTTCACGATCTGAGTCAGAGTTTGGTGCAGATTTAGAGTTTGATTATGGTGACTAYTTTGATGACAACAATATGATCGTTGGTGAAGCTTTGAGGTTGAAGAAAGTCCTTGGCTGTAATACAAAGCAGGACCCTGAATTGGAAACACTAGTTAGCGAGGTAACAGACCCAAACATCCAAAAATGTAAATCAAGTCAYGTKTACGTAAAGCAAAGYACTCAAACCGATGAAYATYTACCATTAGAGCGGCCGCCATCTTATAGTGAAGTCAGRAAAGAGATGAAAGCAAAGCGAGCTATTGATAATCCAAACCACTTCAACTTGTACGATACAGATAGCTCGTACTTGTCMGAGTCGGACAATTCTGAATATAATCAACATGSTAGGCCTAYGTTTCATTCGTACATTCAAGCTAACACGAATCGTCAAAGARCAGATTCAGGGACYCAAACTGTGRTTATWAAGCCACCAACAGAAAAGGCWATCTCAACAGAYGAGYTATTGAAAATGYTAATTAACTCTAGTCAAGGAAATCTGYWAAAAAGTAAACCAACACAAAACGTGCAKMAAAATCCTCAATCAGTAGTTCAAAATCTGTTGTTTCCCGCKCCACAGACCAAAGCTGCCAGCACCGGSAATATTCACTCGGAGAAAAAATTTCCCGGCCACGTGCATCAGCTCTATGGAAGTACAGATGTGAGTGGTGAACACAGTACTCTAAATAGGCGTCGTGGTCACCAACCCCCGCCAAAGTATCACAAAAGTCATGAGTCCCTAAGAAGAGGCAAGCCTAGCACTGCCTCATCTGACGTCCTTAGAGCAAAGCTCGTAAGTTCTTCTGAAAATATYAAAGACAACCMRAGGAGGGTTTTCGARGAGGAAGTCGAYTGCATGAGAACCAAAGGAATGGGAGACTTTAGTTCTGGTGAAATATCATCTGGATCGTCATTAGATGATGTGKTGGAGACCAAAACCAGCCCWGTTGCCAGTGTGGCTTACATTGGYTGCGAAGAAACGASCGCTATTGAGACTTTACCTAGGGTTAGGCAGTCATCACATCGGAAAAGGCGTAAAGAGGTAGTAGGATTCTTGTCAGATCAAGATATCCCAACTGTTGTTCGCAACGATAGTAATAAGWATGATAAACTTGTGAGAGAAGTACCTAYGAAAACKTCTAATGATCTTAARCYAAGCAAAAACATGGAACCCAAAAATATCGATAGTGAGAATTCAGAAARAATTTTCTTGACAAAAAAGGATATACCAAGGATCGATCTTGACCAATCAAACAGCGCGACGCCTATACATGACCAAGAAAAYACATGCGTGGTTAACGGAGATCAGATAGTTCACTTCCCGCACGACGAAGTTCCGAGTCCAAACAGCGTYAATGTGTTTATTGATTATAAGAAAAACGTCATGAAGGTAACRACAAGCACTCCAAAGATCCAACATGGAAAACTTATTACAGATTCKCCAACCAGCCTTAGCCCTGTAGCAGGAAGTCCTACTGAGAGAAAGAAGCTATCTCCAAGGAGCAGCGTTGGCCAGGAAGAGTTTCCTCCCCGCTACGATAGCGGCTCATCWAGCGAGMGRTCTTCATCGGTCTATTCATCAGACGATGAAAAATTCTTTGGAAGCAGTGATACTGTCGTATTTGTRGACAAGACAACAGAGAGCCAAAGTAACAAGCCAAATGTGGATGTTGCTMYACCAARYGACCAAAGCGCATGCGCAAATAATGGGYATAATGATARCATTACAGATGACATMAATGCGTACAGCGCTCGTGTGGATTCTCTTCTTCGAGAAGTGAGGTCGTCACTTGATCTYGACTCCATTGGATCAGATTTGCTGGACCAAGCAATGGAACGTGTGAAAGACAGGCTGTCACCGCGTTCACCAGATCAGGTTTGTGATATTTTTAGTRYTGTCAWARGACATAAGTTATCACTCACTAAAACACTTCAAAGTCAAACTGGTGWTAGCGTTTTTTATGGATATTGTAATCCTTTGATCATGAATATTAGATTTCTTACACAATAGGTTATGCCCTTTCTATATCTTTGGATGGATTTTGTGTGTTTGTCTTTTTTGGTGGAGTTTATTTGTTTGCTTTGTTGTTTTTATTTGTTTTTATTTTTATTGTTGTTGTTGTTTATGTTCTATTATGTCGTATAAATTAATCGCAGAGGAAGTGACATTCGAATTATGTAAATKTCTCCGTCGCATGTAGATTAAGTTAGTTCACAAACTAAGATATTCTTAGAAGATTACTTCGACCTCACAGGGCGATAAAGGGGGGTTTTATCTCTCAGTGTACGTGTGATCTCAGACAGGCTCCTGCAACTACAACCTGCGYAGGTYCATGAGGGCTGTTAATATTCAAAATATAGCGTTGTTTCTTTATCGGACAATACAATGTGTGTCTATCTAAGACTATCTAAGTCATTCACGGGTTATGTGACTGCCAACTGATGTCGTAAGTGCTTTGAGGATTCGATTGACGTCACAGGCATAATAATAACTCTGTGTGAATWGGAGAGTGCTTTAAATGCGTATAGCGTACTGTTTACAACCTATGACACTTGGTTYCATTTCGTTTCAAAACGATTATTTCGGTTCAAGTCTTTAAAAGGTAAAGTAAGGTAAGTTAAGTAAATTATCACTAATTGCCCGTATAGTCGGCGTGGAGTGCATGTGCCCATTTTTGAACTGTTTTTGATTCAATGCAAAAGCTATGTCAGTGTTAAAATCACAAAGTAGTACTTAGCTCATAGTATATTCAATATCTACRAAGATAATCTGTTGACGTTTTTATTGTTATTGCTTTTTAATGCAAGTGATTGTTTATCTTCGCCTTACTGCAATTGTTTACAATATGACTTATATAATCTTGTCATAGCACTCTTATTACAGTTTACAATTTCTATTATAGCWAGTACATGTTCTTTTTTATATATTAAACATTCCATAAAATAAACTGTAAGTTTTTTATTCGAACACTTTAAAAAACGCAAAACAGWACTAACCAAATTGTTTTAAATAACGCAATATAGTGTACTTTGGAGGATAGAAAACAAAGGAATTTACCGTAATTCAGTACAATTCAGCGCTATTTAATTGTGTAATTGTTTGCACTCTATTACTGTGGTAGTACTAAACATCGTTTTTGGTTTGTGGTTTGCACTACATGACCTTCGAAGCTCATACTCTATTATTACGCATCCGCAATTCACGTGTAGGAATACTAACAGAATACAAAGTCAGCYACCGTTACAGGAGTCCAACATTACTTAAAACACGTTTACTATATATTTGGTGTTTCAAAACATTAAAAAGCGTGTTAAAGCTGTTTACTTTTTCGAGATCATAATCGATTATAAGTGGAAACACGATAGTGTTATTCTGTGAAGTGAACCTTTGGCTTTCTTATTTTGTAATCTTCTTAATGATTTATATGTATCTTGTGTAGGATAKAGGCCAAGTTCAAACCAGGAAAAAAACAGCAAGCGCAAATCTTTTCTTTCAGTTAGACGTTCCGTGCAAACTTGCCTTAGAACCAAGCGAYATTTATCTACTTTCTAAGTACTTCGTTATCAAAATGACCCTTTTGACGCGGCCTGAGGGGGTTTTGTTTTAGTATATGTTGTAGTTGAYTGTAAGAGATCGTTTACTTGCTAATGACACAGAGCAGCCAAGGGATCGCGGGCTACACTGACTAGCGCGGTAATCGAGCTTGGTAACAGTTTTTATTGTTGTTTGTTTGTTTATTTCGATTTTTGAYTTGTCGACTCAAAACATCATCATTGCTGCGTAAAAAGGTCATATCTTTCAGCAATTGCGTGAAAGGTCATTTCATTAAGTTTTGACCGATCTTTTATTCTAATTCTAGGCMTTTGGAGGGCTTACAATGGAGGCATATGTTGCTTTAAATCAAGCTGATGAACTGCAGTCAATCATCAATGAAATAAAGGTAACTTTGCCCCTAATATAAAAACACTTCAAATCTCTTATCTGATTTTTGCTAAGTTTGAGCACTACAATGTAGTTTGTTTAGTCACATGATGTATTTTTTGCTGAATAGATAGGCAGTGTGTTGATTGAAGAACATTCGCACTGTCGTACTCCTTATTAGATCATAACACYTTTAACACTAAGGCTTGAACCCATTTCTATTACCTAATTATTAAAAACGGTAATACTTGGGTTCCCTGTGTCCCCCTATTATCTTAATAAATTACAGTGTTGTATCACCCCTGGGCACTCTTGTTTTCTGGTACTTAATACATTTTAACACAATTGATATAGGATTGAGGTAAAAAGCCTCTTAAAATGATCCTCCCCAACAGACAGAATGCTTGGGCTTCCTTTGCCATCCACACCCTCCCCCTAAGGGAAGCCCAGACCAAAAAGCTAATACTAATGCCATTGTTTCTTTCTATGGCACCTTGCATCCCTGTAGTTGTAACACTTGATTCTATTTAACACTTTATAATTCCCATTGGCATCTTGAAAGGTAGCCGAGCATATATTTCAAAGTTAGGCAGTGGTTGGCCACACAGTGAACCTTTTGTTCACAAATTATTTACAAGTATCTATAATACTCCAGTTTTGAGATCTTACTTGTGCAGCCTTAACCTCAAAAGCATGTAATATATTCTTTTATTCAGCAAAGAATGTATTGTAATGCAAATATTTTGTGTACAAAGAAGACAATAAAAAATTATGCTTGATTGGAGCTATGCTTGCACAAAAGAGAATAGACTTCTGAACCTTTTACGTCACTACTTGATTTTCAATGCATTGTCGGATCAGTTTCTAGAGAAAACAAAAAAAATCCACCATTTTCTGTCCCAAACATACCCTACAATCCATTTCGTATATGGTACAAGATGTAAAAGCTTCAGAGGTCTATTCGAAACTGGAATATTGTAAGCTTTACCACTGCCTTGCTGTGACGCAAAGGCTGCCTCAGTACTTTTCAAGATGGCACTAGTAGGTGATTTAAAGTAGAGCAATTCAACTTCATTCATAGACCTATTAATATCAACTAACCTCACTTTCTCCACCACAAGAACATATCAGCTAAACACTATTAAATCAGTTGCTTGTATTGCTGCAGGGTGAGTTACAGATTCTACAAGAAGAGAACAGCATGCTGAAGGAGACTGTTGTSTCTCTYCAACTTGGTGACTCACAAAGCRCTAGTGAGACAACTGAAGCAAGTTTTACAGAATCTGCTGAAAGAATTGAATCCATTCGTAAACAAATAGCTGCTGTTGTGGTGAATAAACAAGGTAAGAAAAGGAATTGGGAAATCTAATATGCTCAATGTGTGTATAGTCAAGAAAGCAAGAACAACTGTAAACTGAACTTCCTTTCACTTTTATAGCTCAAAAAAGCTTAATCAAAGATTTACTGCAATATTATAGCTGCACATATCTCAAAATATTATGAATTCAAATATTGTTTTTTACTATTTTTACAAATTAGGACAATGTTTTTGAAAACAATTTCCTCGATGTTTTGTTTTTGAAATTCTAGTTTTTGATAAATTACATGACAGATCAGATAAAAGATTTAATTTTAGAGCGGTCTTTAGTAGCAGTACTTACGTTTTGCGCTGATTTGAGAGGAAATTCTCCATTTTAGATGGCAAAATGACTTCAAGTCGTCGGCCATTTTGTTACGCATGTCTAATAAGAAATCCCGCTCTTAAAGCGCATGATCGTGCTTWCCATAGCAATGATGGAAGACCTTTTTCCAGGAATTGTAAATACTTTCGTAATCTTTTCCTCTTTTTTAAGCTATTTAAGGTAACTTAAGTAAATATTTTTTTGAGCTCACGTGTCAGCTATGATTGATTGTTTTATTGACTTTAGGCGAGGAAAAAGAAGAAGAAGATCTYATTACTATAGACGTTCTTCTTCGAGGATTTGGAGARACAGTTGGATTGAAGACTCACAGGGTATGTTAACCGGAAGTGACGTAAGAYATTTTAAATRCATTTGGCCAATCATCGATCGACCTTGCTCATAACGAATAATTTTATAAGATAGTCTTCYTTTGTTATCAGAAAACGGACGTTAAACTTGGTCAAGTGACTGTAAAAGGAGGAGCGGACTGGACAGGAGTGTATGACGCAGCGAAAACAACTTTCCTGGTAAGAACACGACTTGTTCCCAGGCTAATCTCTTTGTATCGTCTAGCATGACGTCATATTTCGTGTTACGATAAACATATTCAAAAACAATGCTTTTTATAAAGAATTTATTGACTATTTTATTTTTAGGACCATATCAAGCGTATCGCTCCGTCTTCATGTTTGGGACTGGGCCCTACTAGCATGTATGGTGCTCAGATAGGTGCAACCATGTTGACACCAGGTAACGATCCCATCATGCATCACAGCTGTCTAAATCAACTATTGAAAAGATTTCTGTATTTCTTTTTCGTAGAAACGCTGCGAAAAAAGAATCCCCGTGTTGAGATATCGCGGAAATTCAATTCTTGTGTCATCCAATTGAAGGGTATAAAATTATGATAATTATTATCAAATAAATGCATTTAGATTATATGTAACTTTGGATTCTTATACTTAGATGGAATGACAGACTCTTTTGATACTCTAATCTACGATACACTTCTCCCCAAACGCGTTATTGAGGTAAGAATGGCTGCCCTAAATGAGTCTCTTTGGCAGCACCCTCCGCCATCTTGAAAAGTAGTCGTGCCTTTGCATAAAAGCCAAGAGAGTAGCGAGCTTGCGATAAAAGATAGATATGAATTGCTTTCTGTATGAATGATCTCACTGGTCCTTTGCGGCGATGCAAGCTATATATCTAGTAAGATGCTGAAGGGATGTTGTGTTTCTTGATACCATGATAGCTTGTTTGTAATGGTCGTGCTACGGGTTCACGGAATTCATTTTTGTTCTCCATTTATTTCATTTACAGAATTACGTTCATCAAATCCTTGAACATCGTTTCGTTGTGTTGTGTGGTTCTCTTGGTATGGGGAAAACACATTTAGCCACAAAACTGGCGGAGCACATAGCACAAAGGTTTGTCTAGGCGCACTTAAGCAGATCAATGATGCCTTTTACTTCGGCACACATAGTGGATGAGCTATTACTGTATTTTTTCTGTTTAGACGTACCAACCTTTAACTGAACATTGTTTTCCAGGTTCGGATCCAAATCACAGAACGCAGTTCTAACCCTTTCAGTTGGTGAAAAATCAAGGAAGGTAAACAGAAACACTGATATTTTATTCATCATTATCTCATATTTGTAATCATTTTATATGACATCTTGTAATAATCCGAATGATATTGGAAAATGAATTTGGAGTGTATTAACCTAAGGAAATTCTGATTTAGGAACTCAAGAAAACATTGGCGAATCTCATGAAGTGTGATATATCCACGTAAGCGAATTTTAGCTTAAATGGAAACCATTGCATTGTGTTTAAAATGTGAAATTGTTTCGATAGGCATTCAGACGGAGTTCCTGTGGTAGTGATTTTAGACCAGCTTGATTGTTTGGCGTCACTGGGCGATATTTTTGATCCAAAACAGTTGGAAGGCAATCGAAATAGGTACGAATCCATAGCGGCAACTTCCCAACCTTCAACACTGAATCGTTTGTTTTTCATTGACTTGTTTAGCACTGTTTTGTACTAATTATTGGTAGTTGTTTCGCGGATTTCTTCTGTGCTCAGTTATCAAACATCTTTTCTTTTTAGCCCATTCATCATTGGTGTGAGAAACAAAAGCAAGAAAGGTCCCTTCTCAGCCAAAGAACTTGCCATACATAAATACTTCAGGTAATACAGCTTTAAATCAGAGATTGTGCGATGCGCTACTGTCAACTTGTCAAGCGATGACATTTAGTTAGTTCTCGCGAGCAAAAAGGAAAAATCACAAACTGAAAACACGATTTTATATCGTTGCTAAATTAGATGTACGCGTGAACAAGTACAGCAATTTTTTTGTGGGTCGATGTCAGTTAACTCGATACTTTGTTTTTAGATGGTTACAAATGTCTGTTTATGATCGACATGTGCTGGGTTTATTAGAACGATTCTTAAGAAGGAAACTGAGCTGGTCTGACAACATGTAAGTATATAAACAGAAAGTCTTTACCTCATACATACGTAATYAATTATTTTATTCTGTTTGTCTGTGT